ACTGGTGACAATGCAAGCAAGTTGTGCTATGTCACCAGCAGATTTTTCTCCTGACACCAGATTAGGAGCTCACTGAGGGGTGTGTGTGCATGTCCCTTCATTGTTAGACTAATCCAAGGGAGAAGGATAATTTTTAAAGGTCTGGGGTTGTAAGTAGTCTTTCTTTTCCCTCTCAGAGCTCTTCCATAACTGCAGTCTTACATCATCATCTCCACTCCATTGTCCAGTGCGAGTCCCGCCTATGAACTGAAGGTCAAGAGTGAGGTTACATTTAGGGGTGGGTCCTCTATTAGGGGTGGGTCCTCTGTGGTCATATGTCACTGTAGAGGCTAGGTTTTGTAGCTCTTGAGTCGGCCCCTGCTCGCTCCCAAAATACAGACACCCGGATTTCATGGGGTTAGGCTATCGCTACAATTTTCATTCTTCTTCTAACCATCTATCCCCAAGAGGTGAGAAAAAAATTTCAAAATGCATCTTTACTTCAAAAAACAAACTTGTAAGCATATTCTCCCGCTTTTAATTTCTCTTCTTTCATCTTTCACCATTTCTACTTCTTTCCTTTCGTTGACTTGCCTTTTTTTATTAATATTCAACTCGGAGTGGCAGGGTCAACCTAGAATCCTTTACAGAACTGAACTTCAGTGATTTCTTTTAATACAGAATGCAATGTGTGATACTGTATTTCTAGAAAGAGGTCAGATGTTTATCATTGATTTAACCGATTTAAATGCAGGTGTTCAAAGTGAATCTTTTCTCTAAGCTAGACTGGCAATCTTTCCTCAAATCTCCCAATATTTGATACAAAGAGGTAGGCCATCCACACTCCCTGCTGACCCTCTGTGCGCTTTCATGCACAGGTTTCCATAGGGAGACCAAAACAACAAGACCCCACTCTCACTAGAAGTCAATAATGTAGGCAGACACTGCCATGTCTTGTGTCAACCCTCGTCTTGCTTCCCGAAGGAACTGAGAAGACAGTAGGAGCAAGATGCTGAAGGGGAAGGGACAAAGCAGGAGGGAAGCAGGGTGACTTTCCGGAATCATATGTACCTATCCCATTGCCTCCACTCAGACGCTCAGCAGAACAGCACACACCCCCCCCCACCTACCCTTTCCCTGCTCTTCTTCCTTGTACACCCAGCTCCAGCCACACCAAGCGGCCAGTTTTCCAGGCACACTCTGCCTGTCACGCCCCGTGCCACCCCCAATGCCTGCTTCACGCACAGTGGGCTTCCTGCAGACAAGGGGCTGCTCTCTAGAGTTGTTCTGTTCTTGCCAGTGTGCACCACAACTCGCTCATAATCACTGTCTCTGAATGTTTTTAAAATTGAGATGCCTAGACAGCAGTCCAAGTGGCCACCTTTGACAAGTTTTGTAACCACTTACTGCTCTGGTAGGTGAAGTCACTCTGTTAATTCAAACATAGGGGAGATGCACACTTCTGGGTAAAATGTAAATTGGTGAAGCTTGTCAGTAAAGGAATATAACTTTTTTTTTTTTTCCAGAAGAAAAAGGGCTGACATCTCAGACCTGGAACAACTTCTGGAAACAACTTCTGAAAATTTACTCTAAGGAAAGTATGCTGCACACATTCTATGCAAGTTTTATCGTAATTTTATATGAATGCAAATAAGCCCATGTTATATAAGTCAGAATCCCCAACAATGAGAGATTCATTAAGTAATGGCTCATTCTTACAATGAAATAGGGTGGCATCTATCTAACCCGGAGCCAGCATCAGATGCTAGGTAAATGTGGGTGCATGAAAGGTAAGTGACACAAAAATGTTTGTAGCCTTGGAAAGATGACGATGCTATTTATAGTAATCAATTAGAGATGTAATGGGCATATTATAATTAAGTTTTGAATTAAAAATATAGAAAATACAGAAATGCATTTTTGTAGAAAACCTCTAAAGGAACATGATTACTTTTAGTTGGATAACTATCAGAGTTTAAAGTAGAAAACTAAGCTTTGTGAAGTGAGGTAAACATTGCACCTTAATGGAAACAAGTCAAAGAGCCCTGGGCAAGTGTCCATCTGAATGATGCAATCGAGAAAGTGGCCACCGAGCGGCTTAATGTCTCAGAGGCCCAAGTCAGTGAAGAATTTTTGCTGTGTCAGAGACAGCGCAGATAAATGGTAACAGGTTCCCCAGCATGGAAAGCTGAATCACCCCATTATCTAAGCAATAACAATCCTTACATCAGTTAATGTGTTTTAAAAAGAACCAAAAATGGTTATTATTTGTTTTGTCCAAAGAAAAAACCAACTTCTTACTGCCTCCATCTCACCACCCACATACTCAGCTCAATGATTTCATCAAAGGGAGACATTGTTTTCCCACATTGACTCCCAACCCCATTTTAAAAGTCAGCTTGAAACCCATTCATTCATTCATCAGCCGGAAAAATCTCAAAATGAACATCTTTAAAAACACAGAAAGAAAGATAAGTGGGAAACTGAATTATAATTCCTTGAAGTATAATTTCAACCCCCAGTGAGTTTTAAAATTCCATCTTAGGTCATTATTGAGTTGCTTTATTGATTCACTCCTAGCCAGTCACCCCACAGCTTTAAACAGAGCTCTCAGCCTGGGCGAATGAAGATGTTATCGCTGCAAAAGTGAAGGGTCTGGGAGACAGCTGCTTGCTTTTATAGGGACTGACATATCTGGAAGGAGCCTCAGGTTGGCTTCTGAATATAAACAGGAATTAGTAAGGTAGAAGCAGAACAAATAAGCACAGTGATCTGAGACCTTTTCCAAAGATCAGGCCCCTGTGCCGGAGGGGGAGACGAGCAGACACCCACACCCTGCCTGGGTTTTCTGCCAGACTCAGCGTTAGGAGAAGGAGAAGGAGAAGGCTTTGAAGGTGACAAAACCAATTTAGAATACTAGTTCAGCCACTTTGTACTAATATGTGCTGGGCAAGTTCCAAACTCCCTGAGCCTTCATTTTCTTACCAGGAGAGTGGGGTTTGGGGGGGATAATTAGAGTTAACAAAAGCCCCTCAATACACCTAGCAGATTATGAATAGGAAACAGCAACTGTATTATTTGAGGAGGGGAGAGAAGCCAGGTGGGATAGAGGAAACATTGTTAGAGGTCTCCAACGCTCTCTTAATTTCCTGCAATAACACGAGGAGGAGGAGCCTGCTGAACTCACTCCCTGCATCCAGCCTGAGGTCTTCGTTACCTCAGTGTTTCTGAGGGGAAAGTGGGAGTCCTAGGGTCTCTTTAAGAGAATCTGTCTGCCTGTCAGCCTGATGCTCTTGGTGCTTTTTCCTGCAGTTTTCAGGATGGGTTCGCCATCATGGATAAGCACCTCCATGCCGTCAGTAAATTCCATCAAAACCTTATGCATGACTGTGGTTTGAAGGATCCTGAGATACAGGTTTGCAAAAGTGAGGAGTTGGGGGAGGGGATTAGAGAGAACAGGAATTACCAGGCGAAACTGGCATTCTTCATGGATGGTGCATTTGAGCTATTGGAGTTTAATCATAAACCTATCATTTGGAAATGCAAAACTCATTGATGTTCAGGGGCCTGACATTTTTTTCAGCTGGCCTACTCCCTGCCAAATGCACACTCATTTTTTTCAATGAGGCAAGAAGGGAGACCAAGGTCAGATCCAAGAGCCACCCTGAATCATCTGCCACCATCACGCTGGACACCAGTGTAATCTGTCTTTTTCCGTCTGTCTCGCTGTCTCCCCTGTCTCTCTCTCTCTCTCTCACACACACACACACAAGCACATGTTTGCGCGCACGCGTGTAGACACACACACACACACACACACAGTGTTCCCTATTAAAATGATAAAAGCAATGGCTAAAACAAAGTGACAAACAACTTTCCTGGAGCAAAAGGTTCACTGGTCTGGAAGGAATCTCAGACATTTTGTCCCCTATCTGTCTGATAAGATTTCATCTAAAATGCTTCCCAGCTGAGTGGAGATCAGGCCAGTGTAAGAGATCACGGTGAGGTGGATCCTCCCATATTTATTCATTCATTCACTCACTCACCCGTTCCTTCACTCATCCCAACATCATTCATTAAATGCCATGCTAAAAATAAAAACTTAAATTTATTAAGCCCCTATTTTAAGCCAAGCAGCCATGATGGTGAGCAGAATAAGCGAGAGCTAAAGCTAGAGGGCTGCCTAGGAGGAGGATAGTAAAGAAATAACTGAACATAAAAAAACGCATAAATCTTGCAAGTGAGAACTAGAAGAATGTCCACCAGAGAAACCTGGCTTTGTCTGGGGAGGGCCTTGCTTTGTTTGAGGAAGGAAATGAAGGTCTGTGTACTCCAAGCAAGTGGAGTCAGTCTAGAGGGGGGTTTGGGGACCAGACCATCCAGCTCTTGTGAAGCATAGAAAATATTTTGATCTTTACAGATAGGTAATGTGACTCCTGCCCGTGATGTAAACTGTGCTTAAAGATTCCGTTTTCATTTTAAGCACTTCATTTGTCTGATCGACGAATGTCCCTCACAAAGGCCACCCGGGGAATTGTAGGAGGAAATGGGACATTTAGATGGGCCCTGGCTAGAATTTTAACTGAGTTGCAGTAATGATGGAGAAGCCTGCAAAAGCCCATTTGGAAATCGGTGCTGAAAGGATTCCGCTCAAAGCTGGCCTTGAGTCAGGACTTCACTTGCTGTGCAATATTCTTCCACCCGTCACCTTGCTGACCCTCCTAGAGTTCTATTCTCCAGGGAAGACCATCTTAATTCCATTTTTATGATCTAGGACCTCAGTTATTATAGAAATGCTCCAAGAGAATGGGAAAGAAAGCCCACCGCTCTCCTCTGAGTTAGCCGCTAATGTCCAAATCATTAGCTCTGCCCTTCTTGAGCATTTCTCATGACCTCAGATAGGAGGACCACCTCAGAGTGGCAAGCCAGTAAGATCCCCTCGGAACTAGGCTTAAGTGAGAGAGTCATCTGAGAATATGTTACAAGTGTGACGCTGTAGGGTACACTCATCGCCAACTCACGATTCATGTAGGCAGGCCACTTCCATTTCTTGTGACTCAGAGAAACCTGAAAAACAAAAACAAAGTTTTTACACCTGAGGTATGTACTAAAAGTTGATATTTAACCCAGGTGTGCTTCTTAATGCTCAGAAAAATACAATGCATTATGGTTATGCTATTTAAAGGTGAATTGTATAATTTATGTAATATGTTAACTGATAATGTACTGCAAGTTTTATGCTTTAGTTATAAGTCATGACTTTAAAGATGTATAGTAAACATCCCCTTCAATACAATCTGTCCATTTCTAGATAATGTGAAAAAGTCCACTTGAGAAGTTTTCAGTATCGGTCAGCTTCAAAGTCAGATGACCACCTGAGCTCCCAAGGAGCCTCCCCCCACCCCCCACCCCATGCTAACAGACCCTAAACAAGGTTTTCAGAGGCCTGAAACTTAATACGTGGAAATAGTCATTCATTTATGTCACCCACATCCGGTGAAGCTTGAGTGTCCAAATCACAGAGAAAGCCATCAACAACGGCAGGCAGCCCGGGAGGGGGTGTTCCCTGGTGAGTGTGGGACTGACAGCATTACATAGCAGTGCTCCAAGAGAATGCAAAAGAAAGCCCCCCTGGTGGGTCATCCGGCAGAACAGCACCATCATGCTGGGGGACCCCCCTAAATTCCTCAGTAGGGAAATCTCTAGGGCCATCCAATTTCTTCAGCAAATAACACCTCCTTTGGTGTGCCTTGGTGAGAGGCCTTGCTCCGCAGAGTCTCAGTGAGAGTAGAATGTCTTTTCAATACAGACTTTTCATTGGACGACTTGTTTTCGACACTACCACTTTCTCCGCCTCCTTCCTACTTTTACTCTTCCCCATTTTTCACCCAGATTCTGGAAGAAAGATGCGTCCCCTTCTCAGTTGAGGGTTCTGGACTATAGTTTTCCGTCTTTCCTATCTTCCATCTGCCTTCTACCTTCGAGAAACACATTCTGTGCCGGGAACACACATTCCCAAATATTTGAACCAGACACTTTTTAGTCGAGGATCTCTCCAGGTGTCAGCGCCAGCTTCATTTCTGCTGCCAAGGAGTCTCCCCGGCACAATACCCCTTCTTCCCAAGCCCTGCTTCCTCGCCACCCTGTCTGCTGGTCTTAATTGGGTATTTATCATTGTCTATAATGATTATCTTGCTTGTTTGTTATTGTTATCTACTCACCAGAATTCAAATTTCAGGACAATATAAATCTTGCCTGATACCAATCTAGTCTGGGAGGTCTGTATTTGGGTCATCAGATCTTAGGCATGTGGCATGTAAAAGATACTCAGGAAAAAATCATTAACTTAATGAAATCACTCATTTCTTCCTTTAACAAATTCTTATTAACAGTATAGTAGGTGCCAAATGGTGCTTCTAAAGGAGAGCTTCATCCACTTATGACAAAGGTCTTCTTGCAGCTGTACCACTTCCTGCCCCAACTCGCCACCCTCCCTCCCTGCCCACCCACAGACACACCGGCTGCCTCCGCCTTTGTGCCTCAAAGCCCAAAGGAGAAACAGGCAAAGATAGGGTGACCCTGTCCCCATAGGCCACGGCAATCAGAGCAGGCCCAGGCAGCTGGCCAGACAGTGGGCACTGGCGCCTTCCTGGGCCCAGAGTAGTAAAGACTCAGCTGCAATAAAAGCCTCGGTCCGGTGGGCAATTAGAGAAAGAGAGGCCCAGGTGTCCCTGGGGGAGCTGGCTCTTATTTACAAGGGAACACGGGGAGGCTGACTGGGGTGAGCCCTCCTCGGCCTTGACTTTATCACAGCAAACAGGCCTGACCTAGAGCTTTCTACAGACACTGGCAGCTGGATGGAAAATGAGTGTGATAGTAAACACAGGTTGCTTTGCCTGTGACCTGACAAGTCAGATTACCTGCCCGTTACCCACACGGGGAATTTCCTGGGAGCAGCTTGCAAACGAAGCTGTCTGCAAGGACAGCCGGCTTGTTGGGGTTTGTTAGGGGGTCTAAGTCACTCAGGACACACTTTAGTTGCGTGGAACAGAATCTCTCTTGTTTCTTGTCCCCTGCTCCAAAGGCACCAACCCCGGCCTTGTACTTGTCAAGGAGCCCAAACACTCTCATTCAAAGGCGGTATTTACAAATGAAGCAGAATGGCCATAAAACTGATGACCTTGCTGCTTCTGGAATCTCATAAAGTTTCCAAGTGGCTCCTCCCCAGAACAAATAAGGGTGTTGCAGTTGCTAGTCCCCTGGCAGGGTTCCAGCTGGGGCAAACACATTCCTCCTTCATCCACTTTCCTCCCAGGCTTCGAAGGCGGACTTGTCTGTGTGTCACAGTGCTGAACTCTGGAAGAGCCTCTGCTTGCTCCATTCAGAGCCTGAGGTGGGACAGCACCAAGGAAAGGGACGACAGGAGAAAAGAGGCCAAAATGACAGTCATGAGTCAGGCACCCTTCAAAAACTTCATTTCCTTTTGCATTCAAGCTTGGTAACTTACTCCTAGGGTAGCACCTGCTGGAAGTTTTTGCTCAGGTGCCCACTTTTTCAAATGCATGTTGAGGTCTCGTGGATAGTTTGCTGAAATTTGTTTTTTGATGTGCAGTGAAGAAGTGGCCAGCTGAGATGGATGAGGTAATTGATAACATAGTGGACACAAATTTAGGTAGGGCTGCTGGGAAATTACTTTGTCAATAATGTCAGTGGCTTAGGTCTTTTGCCCTTTCCCACTCTTCCACTCTGAATGTGGATGTGACACAGAGAGAGGAGCCCCTCATGACAGTGCAAAGGAAAACAGAGGGTAAAATCTGTTTGGTAAAAAGAGAAATCACATGGTAAAAAAAAAAAAAAAAGATGGAAAGAGTGAGAGAGCCTGAGGAATGGGAGGCTACCTGAGGTGCTTCGTCACCCCTACTCACTATGCTCAGGATCCTACCCCAAGCACACCTTCTTTGGGATAGTCTTGAAGTTGTCCCACACAAAATGGGTCTTCAAGAGGTATGTACCTGTGTGACCCGCCTCTGAATATGTGATTTCCCTCTACCCAATAGACTATGGCAAAGGAGGTAGGACATCACTCTCACTACATCATGTCACGCTACAATGTCAGTGGACATCCTCTAAATACTCCTCCGTGGACTTGAAAAGACAGACATGGGGAAATCTTACCACGCAAGAAACAACAGGTGGTATCAGAAAGAACAAGTACAACAGTAGCAAAATGGGCTCTCTGGGCTCTCTCTCTGGGCTCTCTGGGCTCTCTGGGCTCTCTGGGCTCTCTGGGCTCTCTGGGCTCTCTGGGCTCTCTGGGCTCTCTGGGCTCTCTGGGCTCTC